AGTTACCACCTGCCTTCCCCTGGCGGCCAGGTGGCCTCAGAGACCCGAACTCGGGCAGCACCGCAGCAGGGGCGGTTGGTCCTGGAGGGAAACTGACCCAGGATGAAAAGAGCTGGAATTTAAAGCCATGGTTTGCCAACACTACCCCCCACCCCCGTACCCCCTTTTCCCTATCCTGCTGCAGCGAAGGGAGCAACCTGACGCCCGCTCACCACTACCCTGACTTCCGGTTTAAGACGTACGCCCCGCTGGCCTTCCGGTACTTCCGAGAGCTCTTCGGGATCAAGCCTGATGATTACTTGGTGAGCCCCTTCCCCTGCCCCTGCCCACCCTCCTACAGAAATCCCAACGCCAGTGCTTGTATCCTAGCAACAGGGACGTCTCCCCCTCTCTGCTCTCACTCCAGCTAGCTCTGGGGCAGCCGAAGCACCCATGCTTCCCGCGCTGATAAATGTCACTTCCAGAAATGCAGCACCCTCCCACCCCGCAGCTGTGAGACCTGTAGGCAGGGGGTGTCCCGGGATTTAAGTCGACGTGGCCGTCACCCCTGCTGCCTTCCGCTAAGGGGTCCAGCGGCCCCGTTGGAACGAGTTCTTGAAACAACTGTGGAGTTCTGTAAAAGGCTTCCCCTGTCTGCTGGGGGTGGGGGTGGGCGTTGGGGGCCTAGGGCGTCGTGGGTTCAAACCCACTAGCCTCTCCGCAGGAGAAAGATGAGCCTTCCCGGGCCCATAAAGGCTGAGAGCCTTGGGTGAAGGGAGATCGCAGCCAGTGTAAGACACGAAATAGCAATGATATAGATCACTGATCGCGGTTTCTTCATGAGAGTGGGAAGGGGAGGGAGAGAGGGGGGAATGAGGAGCGGATACCAAGGCTCCAGTAGAAAGAAATTATTCGGGAGATGATGTTGGCAGCATGTGTACAAGGGTGCTTCGTGGCATTGAATGATGGATTGTTATAAGATTTGTAACAGCCCCCCCCCATAAAAACGACCCACTAAAAAAATAAAATGAAAGACTGACAGTCTTGGGAACCCCCGGGGACAGCCCTTGGAGGTTGCTGTGATCTGCAATCAGTTCAACAGCAGCTGGTTGTTGGTTCCCGTGTTCATCGCATTGCCTAGCCCCCGGCCCGAGCCTGCCGGGCCCCGACCACGTTCACCTCGACCTCCGGGTCTGGATCCCACTGGCGACGAAGCAGAACCGTCTCAGGCCCACAAGCCCTTCCTGCCAGCCCGTCGAGCACATCGGTCCTCCGAGCTGGGACGTGTCTTCCTGCTCCTCCTGCTGACACAGAAGGTCTGAACACAGCAGCTATTGTGAGAGTGCCCAGTGGGGGCTCCAACCTGGACCTCAACCCAGAAGCCTCCTGTCCGGCTGGAGAGGCGAATGGCCCATTTCATCATCCGGATCCTATGAGCGCCCTGCGGCGTTTCAAGATAGGTTTTCAAGAAGCCACGGGGAAGATGCCTTCAAATATGCATGGTCCTCCACTCCCCCACCCACGACAGGCCTTCCACATGTGCAGGGCGAGACTGGAGCCAGATCCGGGAGGGAGCTCTTCAGAGGAAATAAATCACACTTGAGACGGAAGAGAGGCGAGTCTGTGTGTGCGTGTGAGGCTGGGCTGTCCAGAGAAACGCGTGCAGTGGTACTCATCCCTGGGTAAGACAGACTTTTACATAGGAAGGCACTCCGGCCCTGCCCAACTCAAGTCCATGGGTCCCGTGCCAGCCGGGGCCTCTTCAGACTCACGGGCTGCAGGCCAGTGACGCAGAAAGGGCAGCAGGAAGCGAGGAGGTCGCAGGCCAGCGGGTGCAGAATTCAGGTCAGTGGGAACATGGCGGGAGCTGACAGCTCAGAGTTGGCTTCCAGGTCTGAGACCCACATGGGGCCACCCTTAGGGGCAGAGTCCCGGCAAGCAGGAAGGCGAAGGGGCAGAGAGAGAGGAGGGTCATGACCCTTTCTTTTGGCAAAGATCGAGTAGAGAGAGGAGGGGGTCCCTGTATATTCTTACAGAAAAGGCCACACGTCCCAGGAGACATCATCAGCTGTGCCCTGATCACGAGGCTGGCCGCCATCCCCCCACAAGCACAAGTGGACGTTTGTTCTAAGTGCCGCCAGTCACACGCAGATGTCTGAGGTCCAAGCCGACCCTGTCCTGTGCTGAGGAGAAGCCGGGATGAGTTTCTTCTCCAGAAAGGACAGCGTGGACCTGGGTCTGCTGAGGTCGGGCTGTTGCCGCCGGGTCCCCTCCCACTTTGGGCACCGTACGTGTGGCCACAGAGCTGCCCCCTGGGGTCTCCGGGGTCTGACTTCTGGAAGGAGAGCACCAGGCCTTTCTTCCGAAGTGCCTCTGCTTGGATTCCATCCTCCAGTCTCCTGGCCAGCCGCCGAGTGCGTGAACCGTGAGCGGCATGCTGGGATGCCCAGGCACCCCCAAGATCTCCGTGGAGCAGGGAGGACGGAGAGAGACGTCTCTAGATACCAGTTGCCAGTCCCTGCGGCTGTGTCTACACTGTTTCTGTCACAGCCCTGACCCCTCTCCCAGCCACTCGGACACACGCATGTGGGGTGTGTGTGTGTGTGTGTGTGTGTGTGTGTTTCAGAGCCATCAAGTCCATGCCATCTCAGGGGACCCCACGTCCGACAGCAAGAAGCACCGCCTACGCCACCCTCACCCTCGGGCTTCTGTTGGCGCCGCCGCGCTAGCCCTTCTCCTTGAGGCCCTTCCTGCAGTTGGTGGATCTGTGCTTGACCCAGGCACCCAGCCCTCCTGCTGACACGGGACCCAGGGACCCAGGGACCCAGGCACCCA